GGGGGGGTGGGGATGCTGGGGGGAGCCAGTGTTGCCCGGTGTGCGATAACTATTGTATTTGTAACAGTAATTTCACCCCTTGTGCGATCAAGAGCAGTAAAAGCGTTCAAAATGTCGCATAACTTTTGAGGCAGCTCAGTGATGCAGCAAATGCAAAATCCAAGTCACTCTCAGGGAATCTGACCTGAGTTCAGGGCTTGCTGTCAAGGCTGGCTTATGGCTGCTTGCCTCAAAATAAAGAAATACATCAACTTCAGTGACCCAGTTCTCACTCATTCACTTGCTGGCATCTTACAGTGAGCAATATAAAGTAAATAAGAACAAGACTTATTTGCAGCATACTTACTTGCATATTTTTTCAGTGTACAATTGTTTTTCAGCAAATATCATTTTTGAGCTCCCAATGTGATCATTTCATATTTAAGACCTGGCAACCCTGGAGGGAGGTTGGAGACTCCAGAAGCTGCAGAGGTAGCGGGCGCAGTGCCAGAGGCGGGTTGCCAGCTGGCCAGCTCCACCTTGGACAGACACTCCTGTGGGGGAAGGTTTGGAGCAGGGGGCTCAGCCTTCTTGGTCACGCTGCCCAGTCTGGAAATTTAGCAGTAGGGAAGTGGCAATTAATGCTGCCACCTACTACCAGATTTTTGGAGCTGCAGGAGCCACGCAGGCTGGGTGACATGGCTCCATGGGCTGGATCTGGCCCACAGGCAGGGGGATGAGCATGGGGGCTCTACCTTCTGGCCACTCACACTGGCCCAGCCCCACATGCTGGATACAGCTGCAGAGGAACTCACTGCTTCACCCCCACCCTGAATCAGGCCGCAGAGCAACAGGATCTGGTGTGTTGGCCTATGTTGTCTGGCCTGCAGGGCTCCCCACAGGCCTGGAAGTGTGGCAGTGGGGGAGCAGAGACAACATGAATTGCCACGGCTTTAGTATTCCACCAAATTTCTGGACCCTTGGGAAGCCCCCCCGGACTGGAGTATACGGCGTCCTGGGCTGGATCCAGCCTGCAAGGTGAAGGTTGAGTGCCACCAGTTTAGATCCTTGAGCAGGGGACTGGATTAAATGGACCTCTTGAAGTCCTTTCCAGACCTACTTTCCTATGTTTTTATGATAAATGCATGCAGGACAGGTTGCCACATTAGATCTGTGTGGGTGCATCAGAATAGGGGTGCATCAATAGAGATTTTGGGGGCTGATACCGATAGGCAATTTTTTAAAGGAGGCATATTGGCTGATACTGATCCAATTTCCAATACACAGCCCTGCAGCTTGAAGAGCAGTGTCCAGCTGGTAAGTCTCTTGTGGTGGAAGGGAATGGGGGGAGGGGCAGATCAAGGCCCTTGCAGTGAGGGAAGGAGTGGGGCAGGGGCTGGGTGCAGGACGGCTCGTCCAGGGGTACAGAGTGAGGGGCAGCTTCTACGGCTGCATGCACCTCAAGGGGCAGCTTCTACGGCTGCATGCACCTCAAGAGGGCATGGGGGGAGAGCATGTGCCCCCTGGATATGTGCAGGGAGGGGTGGGGGGGGCTGAAGCTCTGGGTTGGGACTGGGGCTGTGCTGAGATCTTCCCAGCATGTGGGTGGGGGAAGTGTTGGGCCAGGGCTGTGCTCGGGGTGGGCGGAGATGGCACTGGGAGGGTGGCTACAGGGGAGGGCTGCAGCCACCCAAATTTCACTATAGCTCCCTGCTCAGTGCCACCACTGCCTACTCCAGGTGCAGCCCCCATGCACCAGGAAATGCCCAGTGCAGCCCTGGCACCAGCCTGCAGCTGCTGGCCCCCCACACACAGTTCAGGGGCACATGCTTCCTCCCCCATGCCCACCTGGGGTGCATGCAGCAGGAGGAGAGCGCCCCCACACTCCCCTGGACAAGCTGTGATTTGGTGCCCACTGTGGCTGAGCAGCACCTGCCCTAGCCCCTGCCTCACTGGGGGGTATTGATCTGCCCCTCCACAACAGACTTACTAGCTGCACTTAGCTCTCCAAGCTGCCAAGCTGTGCTCCTTGCTGCCTGCATGCTGCACTGCGGCTGCGCATACACACACACGCAGGCATTTATTGGCCAAATTATCGGCCACATCAGGCTGACTTCTAATACAATAATTTTCTTTATATCAGTGCCTATCTGATATTGGACCGATGTATTGGTGTACCTCTAGTTCAGAAGTTGTTCAGGCATTGACCAAAATGGTGGTGTTGCAGGCTGAAGATGAAACCATTTGAGAAACTTAGGCAAAAGTTTGCAGAGTGCTTGATTAGCCAAGGCTGTTTTTCCATCATGTACATGCTACACACCAAAGCTGTATTTATCCTCAAGTAGAAGGTGGAAAAAATTAGTTTTAGAAACTTAAATGAAACTGCAGATCTAACTGGTTTTTGTGACTAGGTTCTTAACACTTGAAAATGAAAAATTCCCTTTCAGGTGTCTACAGCACTAAAGGAAGGCCGAGTGAGTCCAACAGAACTTTGTCAACGATGTTTGTCTCTTGTCAAAACCACCAAATTTCTTAATGCTTACATCACTGTAACAGAAGATACTGCATTAAGGCAGGCTGAAGAATCTGAGAAGAGATATAGGAGAGGTAAATTAGCTTGCCTATATTTGTTATACCTCCTCAAAAGTTTTTGTTTGACTGTAGTGGGTATAGTACTTTCTGTCAGATTTAGCAGCTTGCATAAAAAAGGAAAGTTACTGTTTGTTTGACTTGGTTGTATTAGACAGCAACAGTACCTATTCAGGCTAAATGCTCTGTGGAGACCACTGGTTGCACAGCAAGCATATTTATTCACTGGTGTGCTCATTGTGGTGCCCCAGAACAAAAACTACTCAAAATCATTTAGCTTCCTTCACGTGGAGGCTGCACATAAAGGTCAGCTCTATTTGCTGAGCTGTACTGCTGCTTAATGTCCACCCATTCTTCAGCAGCTCAGTTCACATTGGCAGCAGCAGTTATTAGAGCTAGTGGGGCATAATAACCTTTACTTTGTAGCCCCATCAACACGGGAAGACAAAACAACTCCCAGCCTAATTTAGTTTTAAATGTTAAAAAAAAAATCATACTAGAGGTGATTTTTATGAAGCTGTGGTCTCCTGTTGTTGATGGAGTTCTCCCAACACTTTGAGGTACATTTCCTGTATGTCCCTGCTTGGAGAACGGGGAGAAAAGGAGAATTCATTCTGATGTGGTTTTTCTTTTTTGTAGCTGACAGTTTCTGTTATTCAACCCCTTTGGCAAACTGCTGTAGAGGAGATGTAACTCGAATACATTTGTCTCCTTAAAGATTCTTCCTTTGATGATTAATTGTCAAGTCACCTTGGACAGATTCTTCTTCTTGCTATGGTTTTCTTTTTGCTATGGTTTCACTTGCTGGGCACATCAGGCAGGCAGCCTCGACTCCTTTCCTGGGTGGGAATGGCATGGATTTCAGATTGATACAAGCATTATATAGTCATGCCTTGTGGGGAAGGCACTTTTTTGGGCTAGCTAACCTATTTTGGAAGCAGCTCTCTTAGTAGCGGGCTGATGACATTTTACAGAACCTAAGCAGTTTTAGGACAAATCTGGCTTGGGCAACAAAACACTTAAGAACAGAGTTGAAACTTTGTGAAAATATAACTTTAAAAGCATTCATTTGATGATCGAAATAATTCCTAAATCCTAATAAAAAACAAAACAGAAGTGGAAAATAAAAAGGGATGACTAAACCCTTCTTAATATTTAGATTTATGTTGTGGTGCTGTTATACCTCTTGTTATTATAGGTCAATCACTGGGGGATTTAGATGGAATTCCTGTTGCAGTAAAAGACAACTTTAGCACAGCTGGCATTGAAACAACATGCGCATCAAACATGCTAAAAGGTAAAGTAGAGGCAAAACCAGTTCTGGTTCTTTTCTCTAAAGCTCTGGTCCTTTTCTCTAAAACTTCTATGAAGCACAGTGTAGCTGAAACCTAGTCATTTAAAAAAAAATCTTGACGTAGTTTCGGACACTGCAGTCATCCTTGCCTTTTCTGGGTTTACAGACAGTTTTCACTTTTTATATATGTTGCTCCTGAAATTGTAACTGTTTGACAAATAAGGTCATCCAGTACTAACTCTAGCCAACAGACTGTAATTTTAACAATAGGTTACATTTTGTTCCAAGTTATGTTCAGGTTGCCAGTATTCTTCACTCTTCACTTTTGTTTGTTGATTTGTACTATATAGCAGAACTCAAATACAGTTTCTAGTTTGTTCTTCCAGAATTTTTGATCCTGGTCCTTGAACTAAATAGCTGTCTTTTAAATTGATGTTGTCTTAGTTTTGAATTCTGCTCTCTGCATTCCTGATTTTGATCATTAATCTTCATGTATAAACATGACAATTCCCATAGCTTTGTGTTGTTTGCTTAGAAAAAGCACAATTAAAAATAGAATTTAAAAAAAAATATCATTTTTCTGTTGCTTTGAGAAGCCAACACAAATGGAAAATTCATTAATTAGCACGGCAGAAAGAATGAAGCTGATTATAGAAAAAAATCTTGACAGAAGCACAAGTGAAACTTAAAAATATTTTGAGGGTGGCTAGGGAAGAAATTCTACTATTTTATTTTATTTTTCTAACAATAGAAGAAAAAAATGGATTTTACAGGAGTGTCAAGTTATTTCAGATGCCTTTCCTTTGGCATGCCTCCCAGGCAGCTTTGAGTGATGGAAGACAGCACGTCTGAGAAGCTCAAGGTTTAGACTGCTCTGTGCTGACTTCATTCTCAAAAAAAAATATCTGTCCATACTGATTAACGATATTCCATCAGTTAACTAGTGGCAACCACCATGTTAAATTCTGTTGTAATAGGTCTGGTTCTCATCACAGCATGACCAAATGTAGTTTGAATTTAGCTGCACAAATCAATCAGTCTTGGAGGGCAGGAAAGAAAGATGCTAGGAAATAAGTCAGCATTCTGTCTAATACTCATTCCCTGTTTGTGATTGATCAGAATTTATTGATGATAAACTTCACTATTTTGAGGGTTCCTGGAATTGTATAGTGACAGTTGCCATGCAGAGATAATGGCTACTTAGAACTGTTTGGAGGTCTAGTTACTAAAATTTATCCAGATGGCACCAGACAGTCTCTTAACTGATCTAATTGTTTTTCAGGTTATATTCCTCCTTACAGTGCTACTGTAGTTCAAAAATTATTGGATCAGGGTGCTGTGCTTATAGGAAAAACAAACCTAGATGAATTTGCTATGGGGTGAGTTATATTTAACATTATTAACAAATATTTGCACATTATTGTGTGACTACACAGTGTCTACTCTAACACCTCCCTCATCCTTAATAAATAATTTATGCATATTCAGAAAATAAGGAAAGCAAATATTTACCATGGGTGGCTATAGCTACACAATGGCTATTTCTGTGAACTTCACTGGATATTTATTTCATTATGGTGTGTATCCATCTGTTTCTAAGAAAAGAGTGAGCTAGCCATTGTATCACCTGTAAACAATAGGATGCTACTGAGATGGTTGATTAAGTAGTATTCACTCTCTTTGAAAAAAAATTGCTTTTTCTGGTAACCAAGCAAACTCCAACCTGCAACTGAAACGTTAGTTATCACTGAGGGTTAAGGAGTAATTAGGGTTAAGGAGTGGTTGTAGTCACTGTATTTTTCTCAGTGTATAATCCATTGCTGCTCTACAGTTGTCTGTGTTTAAACTATCCTAATCTCTTACATCAGATCTGGGAGCACTGATGGGATATTTGGACCAGTTAGAAACCCATGGAGTTATTCAAGACAGTACAAGGAAAAGTGTGGGCAGAACTCCCATCTTGAGAATGAAGACTCCAGTTGGCTGATAGCAGGAGGAAGCTCAGGAGGTAGCGCTGCTGCTGTATCATCTTTCACATGCTTTGCGTAAGAAGCTCTTTAGATGTTGTTTTAATTAACTGCACCATACTCATGTAGTACTTCTCCTCCAAGCTTAATTTTAGGCGCTTCTGATAATCTAGTTCATATTGCATACCCGAGGGCAGATAGTGTTTCTTTTTGAAACTGGACAATTATTAGCACTTCTATTCAATAATTAGTTTCAGTACCTCTGTGGTGTTCAGGATATAAGGCATAACACAAAAGGAAAGTGATTTTGTATGGATAGATTTAAGACATTTCCTTCTAAATCTTAATCAGCATAGTGGTATGAACATTTTGGATTGCCTGAAATAAATTTATGGAAGAGGGAAATTTACTGTTATCATCCATACCTGCTCTTTTAAAAAGTATCCTACAATCAGTGATATATCAGCTAGCTGAATCGGCACAAAAAACCCTGCCATATAAAAGCTCTCATCTCTAGGAGTGTAATATTCTTTTCTCCCAGAGTTAATTTATATGGCAGGACTACCTATAATTCAGGCAAATTTATAGGATTTGGGGACTAATAACTTTCAGATCTCAGATTTACTGAAATGGTTTGAACTACATAGATACTTAAAAGTTACCTTTCAGAAAAATGCATTCAAAAAGAGTTTCTTTAAAAACCCAATTTTAGTTGGTTATGACTTCAAAAAGTGTTTTAACAATGTTCTTAACTGCATACACTAATGAGCTGTTATTTGCAAGAAATAAAAATGTGTGAACAATTTTAAACTCAGATTTCTGTTAGTATCAGTACAGGTGGAAGATATAAAGAACATTTTTTGCAGGGCTTTTAGAAATGCTAGGTCATCTGTATAATGAACACTCCAGCTATATTTTTCAATCAGAAGACATTTGAGCTTACTGTATCCCTTTTGAATACAAGTCATCCTAGATTTTCTGATTCTAAGTTGAAGAAAAAAATAAGATCTCAAATGAAGATATATTTATGGAGACTATAAGAGGATTTGGGTTTTTTTACTCCAGTTTACTCTGAAACCAATTTCTTTTAGGCAGTATCATGCCATATAACATGAAAAATTAGAGTTCGTGTACAAATCCAGTTTGTGGGGAAAAAAAGATAAATTCATTGGAAAAATGGACTGAAAAATTTGAACTAGTGAAACAATTTTTCAAAAACAAGAAGGAACTTTTTCATCTGAAATTGACCTTTTTACAAATTTTTTTGGAAAAATCCAATAAAGACAGATTTCAGTTAAAAATGATACTTTTCTTCCTTTTTAAGTTTCTTAAAACAATAAAAGATTTCATTGGAATAAACTTTTTATTTTTACAAAACATTTTGATTTTTAACAGCAGCATTTTTTGTTTTAAAAAAGTTCAGCTGTGGTTTTCCTTCTGAATGTACAAAAAATGTGGTATTATTGCAGGTGTGAGTTTGACTAATGGAAACTTAAGACCTTGTGCCATTGTAATCTTGGAAAACAAAAAATAGTGCCATAATCTTTAATAGGTATTGGACCTTATTGTATTAAAGGGTAAGTGCTTATAAATATTTTGCTATAAACTAAAAGCTCCTGGTTCAAGCTAAAGAGTGGAAAGGTAGGGCAGAATAAATGGGGCCTGAATGCATAAAAAGGATGTGCTTTAAATATTTTCTCTTTGAGTATGGACAGATATACATTTGAAGTGCTCTCAACCCTGGCATGCTTCTGTTTCAGCACCATGCAAATGTGCAGGCCACCCTACTTCCTCTCCCCCATTCCCAGAGAGCTTCAAAATGGCCAGGAAGGCACATAGCAGGACTGCTGTTTAGCCAAGGGCCTGGTGAACAGGGAACTGTGCATACCTCTTAGCTTCTGGTCTTCAGAGGGTCCTGAGGACAGTCAAATGCACAGGAGAGTATTCGTTGGCTGTCTACCCCCCGCTTCCACTGTGGAATACCAGAAGACTGCTAGAATGTAGGGACATTTCAGAAAGTGCTACAAAGGGAAGCCCTTGAAAGACCTTCCTTTTTTTTTCTTTTTTTTTCCAAGGGTCACTTTTTTGAAAGCGCTCTTTGAAAGCATGTGCACATCTTTATCTTTGCTGTTTAGAGCACTTCAAACACCGTGTCTGTACATGACCTTTGTGTAGAAAAATCACATCTAGAGGTTTGTGACTTTAACAACAGATACACTTTGGATGTGTTCTACAGTAGTCAATTCTGTTAATAATTCTGTTTACATCATAGGGCTTTGGGATCAGATACAGGAGGATCCACCAGAAACCCAGCTGCTCACTGTGGAGTAGTAGGTTTAAAACCAACCTATGGATTGGTGTCTCGCCATGGTCTCATTCCTCTAGTGAACTCCATGGACGTACCAGGGATTTTAACCAGATGTGTGGATGATGCTGCAACTGTGTTAGGTATTACTAGTGTACATGTCTTATGCAATTTGTCTCAAAAACCTGTGAATTCAAGTAGTCCCTATTGTATTTTCTTTCCTGTACCTTTTGAAACCTATTTCACATTTCAGGTGTGCTTGCTGGGCACGATCCTAAAGACTCTACCACAGTGCAAGACCCCTTTAACCCATTTGAATTACCCAATGTCGTAGATGTCAGCAAGCTCTGCATAGGAATACCAAAGGTAATATTTTAACTGTTTTCATGTTTTGAAAGAGCAGGGGTGGGGATCCATACCAGAGTGGGGATTCATACCAGGGTCAGGATTCATACCTTTATATCCTGTTTACTTAATCTACAGGCTTAAATCTGCTGTATATGCAGCCTCTGGGAGTAAAAGGATTTCTATCTTCTTGCTTAGTGTCAGCCTCTTCAGGTGGCTAAGCTGGGGCATTGATACTTTCTCAAAAGTTCTGTCCAGTTGTTAGAGGGGCATTGTCTAGAAATGACAAAAGAAGATCGGGAGCCTGAACTCCTTAGTTTTACCACTGAATTTTTTACTGCAGGCAAGTCACTCTTCTTTTGGTACCTTTAGTGTAAAAATACTTGTCACAGAGGAATGATGGGACATTGTGGAAAACTCTGGAATACTTGACTGGAAAGTGCTATAATAAGGCAAAATATTAAAGAAATTTTGCGGTGCAGAGGAAAGCAAAGCAAATGATGTATATGGTCCTATTAAGGATACAAAGAGAAACTTGCCCTGTTTATTAGAATTGATAATAAGCTTCATGGTTTCAAGTCCACAGAGTTGAATAATTTTGTGGTTAAAAGAGTTATCACCAGATAGGCTAAGAATTGAAGTTTGGTATATTTTTAATTAATCATTTACTAGCAGAAAAGTGTGTGAATGTGTGTTACTTTGACTGTGCTTTGTAGGGGATGGCTATTTGACTAAGACTCTTCCTCTTCCCCTTCCACTTGTTTTCAAGCATTGTGCTAGAACAAGTGAACCAGTTTTGAATAACCAACATGCCACAGATCAGCTTGTTGTCCAGTCTATATGAAATAGGCATCTAATTTACTTCACGTAGGATGTTAACATTTGGATTTTAGTAATCTAAAATGGTGCCTAGTAATCTAAAAGAAGGGTTTTTAATATATATCCTAATAGTACAAACCTTTGTGTGATGTGAGAGATTTTTCTTAAGAAGGAAAAACTACTGAGACATTGAACTTATAGTTAAAACAACAATGGGCGTCCACAAAATGGATAATTCAGCTAAGTAACTTAGGCTATTGACATACAAACAATTCACTGTGCTCTAAAAGAGGGAGAGGCTTTACTGGATGTCCTTCCTTTACTGAGCCTAGCCCTCAGTAAAAGAGAGGTAAGTTATCATGGGTCAGTTTACTTCTACCTCAGAGTAAGATATTGTGTACATGGGCAGTTAGAACAGCTGATTCAGAGAGTAGCCCCACACCTTTTTTCATTAAATTGTACACCCAAATCTTAGAACAACTAGGCTGGTTATCTTAGACTGCTTTTTAAGAACATACACAAAGCTGAATCTTATCACCAATAGTTAACACAGTCTCAACACCAATATTTATTAGACTGTTCTTCAGTACTTTTTGACTTGAGGCCCTGGCACATTTTATGTTTGGGTTATGATTAAGGTGTTAATCATACCATACAGTAATCCAGCCAAGAATTAAGGCCAATTTATGGTGTGATAATATAGAAAACATGCCACAAAGATATTCCACATATATTGTGTAACATCTTCATGGCTTGTTTGCATCATACTTTAAGTTGAACACATAGCATGTCAGGGCTGACCCAAGACAGCTCCCAGTGCTCAGCAGAGCATTCAGTTCTGGCATGGAGAAGCCCCAGAGTCCAGGACACAGCTGTCCTTTACCTGCTTGGGGGCAGCAGTAGGTGTCCCTGCTGCATCCCCAGAGCCAGAAGTGGGGGGGGCGCCGTGAGCCTGGAATCGGGAAGCATCTCCTTGATGTCAGGCTCCTTGCATATCTGACTTCTTAAAATCAGTCATGCACCTGGGGTTCCCAGCTACGCACCCACTTTTTTAAGTTCCCAAGGCACTTGTGGAAGCATTAGCTGGGAGCTCCCTGCTTCATAGCTGCAGGTGCTGCTTCAGGTGTCATAGATGTCAGCAAGCTCTGTGTAGGAATACCAAAGGTAATATTTTAACTGTTCTCACCTGTGAGGCATGGGCAGCTGAGGAGCCAGGAGCTTATGCCCTGCGCCATGAGCCACAGCCATGCTTTTTAAAACTCCATGGGTCTTCAGACCCAGACAGTAGAGAGAGGGTAACCAGTCTCTAGTTCCTACCACCCAGGCAGATTTAAGGGGCACCCATAAGTCTGGCTAGGCTGCCAGTGTGTCGAGGATCAGAGGCTTCTGGTGGAGTTTAAAGTCCCCAGAGGGGAAGCCCTTCAGCTCCCCCCACCCCCAAGTCTCTGATTCTCTTGTGCCCCAGCAGGGTGCTGGGTTTTGACAATCAGCTAATTCCACTAATCCATGGAAACTGAGGTCACCTGATTGTCAGCCCTGCCCAGACGGCCCCAGTTTAGAATTGGACTTGGAGCTGTCCCAGCCAGCACCAACAATTAATTTATTGTCAGCTCGCTACACTGGAGACTGGAACTGGCCCTAGTGCTGTCAGAAGCCTAGGTGAGAATCAGCTGATTGTCAGCCCTGGCCCCAGAGTGTACTGGAGCTGGTTTGAGTCTCTGATGGGGCTAGAGCAAACTATCAGCTGATTATCAGCTTTGCTGGACTTGCTGTGGGCGCTCCTTTCAGTTTTCCAGTGCAGGGGGAGCCCAGGCTTATGATCCTTCTTCACTGGCAAGCAGTAATGGCGAGATGGGATCTAATCCCTGATCCCAGCAATCATGCCTTCTGCTATACATAGGTGGTATAGCAGGAGGTGTTATTATTGAGATGGGGGATCAGATCCCATCTTGCCATTACATAAACAAGTGCCAGGGGCCCTAGGCATAACACTTGCCAAAATGCTTTTTGAATGTTTTCTGTTCATGTAATGTCACCTGTACAGTTCCTGGCATCATGGATTAAAATTTAAATCGAACTGTTCATGAATGCAGGGCAGTGCACCATGGTCCCTGTCGAAAGAAAGATAAATAGGCAGCTACTCATCTGGTAATTCAAGACCTGCAGCAAGAATCACCTGAGGGTAATTGTCATCTCTGTCTATACAAGCAGTTAGGAGAAGTGATCATAATGGTTTTAAAATATATGAATCATGTATGTATTTGATAGCCAACACACCGCAGAGACAGTTGTCTATAATAAATATTTTAAAAGATCATTTAAAAGTATTTGCATCAAATAGTATATCCCATAATGCTGCTTGCATAAGAACCACTGAAAGTAAACCCATGTAAAACTATCCAAAAATATATTTATGCATAGAATTAATCTCCTGGCTTTTGTTCTCCTCCAAGGAATACCGCATACCTGGGTTGTCTAGTGAAACTCTGGCAGTCTGGTCGAAAGCTGCTGACCTCTTTGAGAATGCAGGTGCTAGAGTAATTGAAGTGAGCCTACCACACACTTGTTATTCTATTGTCTGCTATCATGTGCTGTGCACAGCAGAAGTTGCATCAAATATGGCCAGATTTGATGGACTGGAATACGGTAAGTCCTCCTTCCTCTGAAAACATGACTCCATACCACTTGGTATGAGAGTAAGAAAGTTTTAAGTGGCCTGGAAATTGTTAACAACTGTGTAGTATATAGTTAAATGTTTGGAGAGTCGTGTGATCCAAAGGCACTGTAAAGTAAAAACCCTGTCTTAGAAGAAAGCTGGAATGAATCAGTGGAAACTGAGGTCACCTGCATTGTGACTAGATAACCCAAAAGCTGTGAAGCCCTTATTGGATATCTGTTTCTAGCAGAAAAGTAGATTTTTTTTGTTTCAGAAATTGAAGTTTTAAAGGTACAATGTGTTCAGTATGTACCTAAACCAGTGCTTCCCAAACTTTTCCTCAGCATAACCCCATTTCCTCAGTATGGCCCCTTACTCCCAACTTGCAGCCCTCCTGTCCACCACCTCAGCAGCACCTGAGCCCCAGCTGCTGCCCACAGGAAGCAGCAGCTGCTGAGGCCAGAGCACAGAGTGTGGCTCCCCACCTCTGTCCCCTCCCCCACGGGTGGCACAGCCTGAGCAGAAGCTGTGGGAGTCCTGGGGTGGGGAGAGGATGCAGGCTGCCTGCTGCAGGCTTGGGTTTCCCTGCCCTGCTGCCCTTCCCCCAGGCCTCTGCAGCCCAGCAGGTGGGACCTGGGGTGGGAGAGAGCACCATACTGCAATTCCATCTGCTGATGTTGCAACCTCATTTGGGGTTGCAGCCCACAGTTTGGAAACCACTGACCTAAACATTCTGCCTTTTTATTTGGTGAGATGCTATACATTATACTCTTTCACATGGGCTTTATCTTACTGATTTGAATGGTATAGCTATGTCAGATATGGAATCTTACAAGAATATCTCCTGTAGCTAATACAGCTATGCTAGCAAAACACTTGGCATAGACAGAGCAGAAGGGTTCTGCCATTTAGAAGAGCTGGTGTAACTTTCCTTGGTGGAAACATTCCCTCTACTGGCATAGCTGGGTCTATACCAGGTGGCTCAGCCACTGTACTTAAAGTGGCAGCAGTCTCATAGTGTAGTTATAGTTGAAATCTGTGCAGATGATGTAATCTATGGAAGTTTTCAGCTTATTGATACACAAAGTTTTCCCATCTAGCTAGTGGCTCACTCAGCTTAGTCATTGCCGACTGCAAGGAACATGCTGCCCTCAATTAAATTAACCTCTTTGTTGTATTCATGGATTTAATTAAAGCAAGGTTGTCCAATGTATTTGGTTCTGTGGGCCAGATAGCTCACTTTTGGCAGCAGGGTGGCAGCTTGTGGCTGAATCCACTTCCCATATTCTCCCCCTCCCCGCTCTAGTTTCCCATGCCACCAGTTAGTTAGTTACCTGCAGTAACCGAAAAGTCCAAAATCAGTGGCAAGCAAGAGGGCTTAGCATCAGGATTCACCCTTGATTTACAGAGCTGTCAGTGCAGCAGCTTCAGCAATTGCACTAATGAACCCTATGGGCTGCAGTCTAACCCCGTAGGACACCATTTAGGCAGCCGTGAATTACAGCATCTTTACCATGCCTGTTGTCACCAATGCCCCATAGAATGCCACTCTCTCTAACACTTAAGTTACTGTTTCTGTAAATGTGTGCTGAAAAAAACCTATGCTAGTAAATATGAACAAAATAGTTTCCTGAATTAGCTTCTTTGTTTATCACTTGTTTATGGTATTACGGGGATGTGTGATACAGTTGAACAGAATATTTATTTTTACTCTGTTCTGAAGCTGGTCATTCACTAAAGGAAGACATAGTCTACACTGCCTTAAAATGAGTTAGGATTTTCAAGAGATCTGGTGCTCTATCTTTAAGTTTCTACCTAATGGTGATCTGGTTTGCAGGGAATAGAAAAGTTACATTAATTGCCTCAAATGTTTCACTTGCACAAAACAGTTGCAAGACATACTGTGCTTTCCTTCCTTTTAGTTATGGTTTGCTTTTCTTTAAATCGCAGGCCTTAATTTTATGGTATTCACAGTCTAATACCTATCTGGATTTTGTTTTATACTTAAATGATGTGTGTGTACTCTAAACCACTATGGGATAATATAGCCATTACCAACTTATAAACACATGCAAATAAAATTTTGAACTAAATTCAGATCTTCTCTGCACACCTGTTCAATAGTTCCAGAAGAGTGTAATTGGCCAAACTCATAAGAAAGTCCCATGAGCAAGTACATCTCCACTAAAATAATTGGAATTGCACTGCTTATGCCAGTACAGTCTTTGGTCCTCAATTTTTTGGGGGTGTGCTTTAAGTTCTGGAAAGATTAGACTCTGATCCAAAGTCTGTTGAAGTCTTTGTTAATCATAGAATCATAGAAGTAGGGTCGGAAAGGACCTTGTAGATCTTCAAGTCCGACCCCCCCCGCCTGGGCGGGAGAAAAGACTGGACTCAAATGAGTCCAGCCAGGTAGTCATCAAGCCTCTTCTTAAAGATCCCCAGGGTAGGAGCCAGCACCACTTCCCTAGGAAGTCCTGTTAACTTCAGTTGGCTTAGAATCAAAGCTTTCAGATGAATAAGTCAATTTTTAGTTGGAGAAGATTGCTGTCTCAGTTTTACTTGTGGAGTAGTGCACTGTTCAACTCCAGTGTTAATCTTTGCTCAAAATGAACTGGAGGATGATCTGCCAGTGTTACAAAAATAATTTTAAGTCAAGTCAAGGACAGGGAAAAAAAAAGAGGCAGCTTTCTCCATGTCAAACTGAAGAGCAGGAGTAAGAGTTAGATCCATTCCATGACACAAGCATGACATGCCACACAAGGCACAAAACCATTCCAAGTCAGAAGCAGCAGTCGTGTTTGAACCTGACATTTAGCTCTGTTTCTCCAAACGTAGCTACAGTACTTCTGGTTTAGGAGCTAGTGTGCAGAGGGCTAGACTGAGGATCTGTGAACCATACAGTATCCTGTAAACATATCCTGTATAGTAGGTGCCACCTGGTCTTTAAAAGTGGAAGTCCAGTGCTGAAGTTTGGTTAATATATTTTAGCTTTTAATATACGTTAATAGCTTTTAATAAATATAAAAGCTTTGGGTTTGGTTCCATGAAAAATTAATTGCATGTTACTTCAGCTCTGCCTTACTGTCACTATTGTTTAACAGTTTTCATGGCTTCTAGGGTTTATTTCCAAATCACTGGTGGTTTATTTTTAGGACACCGTTCCAATATGGACAAGTCAACAGAAAGCATGTATGCTGCAACACGACGAGAAGGGTTTAATGATGTTGTAAGGGGAAGAATTCTATCAGGAAACTACTTTTTGCTGAAGCAGTAAGTTCAGCACATTTTAAAGCTTAAATCTTCAAAGTTAATATATTTGTTTATAGCAGGGCTAGGGACTGAAGTTTCACATAAACTGGTTTTAAGTGATCAGAAACTAGTTTAAACCTGTAACAGAACAGAAGCTTAGTGTACATAAACCAGTTTCACAATGGTCAAAACTGGTTTAAGACAAATCTGATTGAATGTAGTATTAGACTTAACTGATTTATGGAACTTCTGTCCCAGACCCCTTCCTGGTTTAAGTTAAATCAGAGTCCCCCAGCATCCCAGCATGCTCTCCAGCGTTGGACTGGGCTGTGCTGTCTGCTCCAGAGAGTAGGGCTCTGCTCCTTAGCCAGAGTAAGTTGAGGGGCATGGCCAGATGCTGGCCCAGCATGGCTCCCTAAGGCAAAGGGGGCAGGGAGGGGGTTTATTTCCCCTGGGGGATCCCATCTGCCTAGTGGGGGCATAGCAGCCCCTGTTGGGCATCCCCCCTGCCCCCAGCTGCTCAAGCATTGGGGGGCGAGGCCAGCCCTGGCAGCAGCCTGAAAGGCCACCCCCCCCCCCGGCCGTTTGCTTCTGGCTGCTACTGGGGCTGGCCATGCCCTCCACCACTTGAATGGTGAGCGGAGCAAAATGCCTGATAAGGGCCACTGCGCCCCTGGCTGCGGTCTGTACCGGTGGCACATGGGAGGGAGTGGGGGAATTAAACCATACTTCATCTCCCCATTCACTTCAGGCTGCTGCTGAGGCTGGCACTGCTCAAGCGGCGGGAGGGAGGGGGGGGAAAAATGCCTAACAGGGGCTACTTCTCCCTTCCCCCTCCAGGCACACCTTGACTGGGGATCGTGTAGGCCATCATGGGGGTTTAAACTCCTCCCCAATCATACCCAGCTTGCTGGGGCCTGGTGGTGCCCCCTCCTCAGCTCAGCTTCCCTTGCGCCCCCCCCGGCTTCTGGCCTGGGCCACTGCAGGCATGTGGCTGCATTTCCAGAATCAAAAGTGAATGTCTGTTCACTTGCTTGCTGGTTCAATCTACACAGGTTAGACTAACCTGCAAAGCTTGAATTGATTCAGGCTCGGGCCTTTTGAATGTCTGTACTCGGCCCAGATGACAAAACTGCTTGTGTGGGGCAGACTTTTCTATGTTACTAAGACAATAGTTTTTTGTATTGCTTTAGCTGTTAACAGTTATTAATAGGTAGAAATGATGTTTTCCTTTGCTCTTAGCTGGAAGCCTTTTTTAATTTAGCAAGGTCGAACAACTTTGTGATTTCTTTCATCTGACATTATTGGCAACCTTCAGTTAAATTATGCAAAAATCTAGTCAGTGGTATGCCATCGACATCCAAATGGAACCTAAGTATACAATTAAATGTAATGTGGCCTTCAGAACAAAGCCAATTTAATTTAGCTAAAGCCCTCGATGCATAGAAATGGTTTGGTCTGTGTCATTGGCACCTCCCACAGAAATCTTTAAGAAATGGTACTCAATTTATATACATCTCTTGCCTTTCCCTTTTATCCTTCCAATTGTAAAGAGGAAAGAATTGTTCTGTGTGATCAAATGAGCTCACTTATTTTGTGAAGTCATATAATTTCCAAATCTGGCTTTGAAAAACTGCTGTGAAAATTCAGAGGGGATAGTTTTAATTCTCACTTTTAATTTCTATCTTTATTTACAACTATTGTGGAAAATTTTCTTGGTAAGACTTCTACCCTCTCTGCCTTCCTCCTGTTGGATACCAAGCAGGATAATTTAGCTGTGTACTCAGTCTCAAAATAAATGTTCCAGAAGAATATTGCTGCTGACTGAATCTTGTAGAGCTGCTAAAACCTGTGTCTTTAAGACAGATGTTATCAATCAGTATTTGAAGCCAGCTCCCAAGAAATATCTGTCAGTATATTCGCTTTGTGTGCCCAGTTCAGTCCTCCTGATTTAAGTTTGTCTGGACCATCTTTCGTTATTTTAGACTGAATGCTTAACTACCTGTATAGATCACTTTGGGTAAAGGAAAACAGGACTGACTTCCACTAAAACTAAACAGGGGGCAGTCTTGCCACTGTGTTACAAGCTACAGTAAATGACTTATTAAGAATAGAGTCCGTGGTTAAAAACACTTTCTTGTAAGAAATTGTAGGAGTCAGATGTTTATTCTTTGATATATTCAAGTTATAAAATATTTTCAGGTATATGTGAAACCTAGTTAAAAAAAATACTAGCCAGTGACTGCATGAGGCTGATGTGTTTCTATATTCTTATGACTTCTGAAAATGTTTAGTATTTTCATGAACTGCTTTTCCCATATTGTGCCTAGGACAATTTCACAAATAACTGTGAAAAAGATAGCTATCTTCTACAATATAACTGATCACCCAAGACATAGACTCTACTAGAACTTGTAGTCTACCATCATTTTTGAGAATTAAGTTCTAGTTTCTATCTCAGTATTTTTATAAAGCCTTGAAAAATTACAAAGCATTCAAATCATTTTCATTACAACTCCAAAAAATCAGTTCTTCAGATTGATCGTGTGACAATTGTGGGTTTTGTATAATCTGGACCGTTATAGATGCGGACACGGTGGCACTGCAATATCTGTCCATTTATGATATATTTGCTTATTTTTGCATACCTATGGGTGTTTGGTTTTGAGTTTTGGATGTTCAGTGATTTTGCAAACAAGATCCTAAATATCAGCTGCCTAACACCCTAAATTGAGGGCAGCGCTGCATGTGGAGTAGCAGGAATCATAATCATATAGTTATCTGGGGGTGGGGTTTCTGGCTCAAAAGTTTACAGAAGTAGACAACAAACATATAAACTGTTCAACTTAAAGTACTATTTACATATAAAAATGAATAAGGAATGTTTGGGTAAGGAGTTGTGTTTAACTTCTCTGTGAAATGTTAAAAAAAAAAAAAAAAGATCAAATCCATAGAACACACAAACATGTGAATAGCTTTAAGCATGTGAGTAGCTCCGTTGAGGTAATGGGACTGTTCATATGCTTGATGGAAATGCTGGATTGAATCGTAAATGGTGATTATCCTGAACTGTACTTCTGTTTTAGCTGTCTGCTTTTTTTCAGTCATCACTGTTCTATCACGCAGTAACATTTGGTGGATACTTAGGGGTCAAGCAAAGGGAGCCGATTTTGATGCTAGTCTCCCATCTTCCACTGGGTTTCTCTTTGCTTCATAGCCTTCTCTAGCTATGTTTCTCCATTTCTTCCTCCTTCCCTCACACAACTGTCCCTTCTCCATCTCTTTCATGGCTTTTTTTAACAACATGCTTTACTGTTATTGGTGAAACACTAGCATGTCATTTTGATGAGTGATTATGTGCTCTATTGAAAATTCAGTCCTGCAGCTCAAGAAAATGTTGGGCTTGTTTTTTCCATAGCAGCTGAGGAATTAGGTTCTGGGTCTTCACAAATTGGATCTCTAACAAGAGTGACAATATTTGTTTCTAGGAACTATGAGAAATATTTTATCAAGGCCCAAAAAGTGAGGCGTCTCATTGCCAATGACTTTGTGAACGTCTTCAGTAGTGGTGTTGACGTTCTGCTCACTCCCACCACTCTGAGAGATGCAGTTCCTTACATGGAGTTCATCAAAGAAGACAATAGAACCCGCAGTGCACAGGATGATATTTTTACACAGGCTGCAAACATGTCGGGTGAGTAGATGAACTACTTAAGTAGATTGCTGGGGAAAAATGGTTAGAGCCTATAACCTCCTGCCAGTTGCCGTTGCACAGGAAGCTCCAGCTTCCCCCACCGCCTTTGCACAGGAAGCTCCAGCTTAATCAAGTTGTCATCTTACTTGTAATCAACTTGTCATCTTAAGTTGTGGGCTTATATTGACTTAGATCAGGGGTTTTCAACTGGGGGTACATGCACCCCTGGGGGTACTTGGGATGGCCTTGGTGGGTACTGAGCAGCAGGCACCGCCACGCCACCAGCACGCTTGTTAGTCGGCCGCAGGAGAACCCCACCCCACCCCAGTCACTGGGGGACTCCTGCCTTCTCTACCAGCGGCTGGGGGTACACTGACCCAAAAAGGTTGAAAACTCCTAACTTACATGAATCAACAGTTCTTATCCTATTACCTTAAAATATACAAGCTTCTGAATACATATAAACTTGGTTAATTGATGCAAGTGTTTTTATTCTAGTCGTCGTTGTTCTCTCTGCCACCCACCTTCCCCAAGTTCTGCTTTGGTTCTTTTTTGAAGTTACTTTTTCTAATAAGTCCTAATATATGGTTTGTTTTATAGCCAATCTTGCATGCATGATGTTTAATAATTCTGTCTTTTCTCAGGGCTGCCAGCTGTAAGCATTCCTACTGCACTTTCAGAGAAAGGCTTGCCAATTGGGCTTCAGTTTGTTGGACGTGCGTTCCAGGAGCTGCAGCTTCTCACTGTAGCCAAATGGTTTGAAAAACAAGCAAAATTCCCAATCCTTCAACTACAGGAAATGCTAGATCATGCTGATGCTCTCTCCCATCAAAAAATCAGCCTTTCTTCATAACTTAGGGTAACGAATGTGAAAAGGATCTTTCAGTTGGTTTTGTTTTGTATAAATGATAATCTAGATTCTGAAAATATGCATTAATGTAAAATGGAATCATGAAAGCTGTTAGTATGTAAGTAAATTGAAGAGAGTCCCAAATTAAATTAAGTTTATAAGAGCAGTGTGTGTACTGTTTAGGAAGAATGTATTAACACTGTAACAATAGTGATATGTCTTGACCTTGTTTCCTTCATCTCCCAAGGAAGTGTTGAAGTGTTTGTTCCAGTAAGAAACAAAACATAAGCTGTTGCCTCAGTATTGCATGCTTGGCAGGGGCCCTGGTTTCTTACTTTATCCCTGGTCCCATGGCTCTAATGAAACCAAGCTACCAGGACTTGACTTCCACAGAGGGGTCGTAGCTGAGGGATAGGAGGTTATGCTCACAAATTATTACAGGCCCAATTTCAGATTGGGGAAAAGAATGGAAGATGAAATGATAAAGAAGCATGCATGGAAAAACAGTAAAACTCCCTGATCTGTTGAAAGAAGGCCCCTAAACCCATGCAGTGTGTACCTCCTGTGAAGAGATCCCAGAGGTTTCTGTGGTGGTTAGAAACCCTGTTCACAACAGGAACTCAGTCCAAATGATTCTACAGAAAAGCAGCCCTTTAATTCATGAACACCTGTGTTTCCTCTTGCATTCTATAAGCATAGGTGAGGTGTCAAACATAAGCATTAATGTTTAATTTAATAAAAATAACATGCCAACTCCCTACTGTAAGCCAGTAGTCCTCGCTGCTGGGAGTTCATTCTTTTCTTTACTCTAGGCTTTCCAGAAGAAGGGTGCTATCTCCTGTTTGATGGCTATCTAATGTCTGAGAAACAATAAATAAAAAGTTGGGCAGTACCAAGCCATGAAGTTGGAATGGAAGGTTTAATAAACAAACAGCAATAGCTGCATTATTTAACATACCTTTCTACTTTTATAAAATAGAAACAGTTGAGTTCAGACTGTTGCTCATTTTTGGAGTTTCTATTTTCTTCTTGCAATGGCAAAATAGAGAAAAGAAATGAAAAGTCATTTCACTTTCAATTTTTCTTGTTTCAGCTTCAAGCATAATTTACAACTAATGTAGATTCATAGATTATGAAGCCAGATGAGACTACTTGTGATCCTCTAGCCCAGGGATTGGTAGCCAATTTTGACAGTGCACGCCTAAGCCTGCAACCCAGACAGCCCTGCAACCACAAGTCTCCACCCCCTGTCCCTTTTCCACTTCTCGCCCCCACCTGCACCGCTAGCTGCTGCATTCACCCTCACTGTAGATACCCAGCCCCTGGGTACTGCAAAGGGGACTGCTGCAGAGATGGGCAGCAGAACACAACTGTGCCACTAATTCCCCTGTGCTGGATCAGACCTTTGAGAGCCAGATTAGGACCCCTTCCTGGGACGGATCTGGTCTGTGGGCCATAGGTTTCCAACTCCTGCTTCATCTGAGCTGTCTAACAAGGCCTGTAGGACATTACTAAGCAAATTCTTGTTTGAAACTAAAGCATTTCTTTTAGGAAGATCTCCAGTCTAAATTTAAAAGTGGTCAGTAGTAAGGAATCTAAAACATCTTAAGATAAGTTGTTCCACTGGTTAATTAACCTTGCTATTTACAATTTGCACCTTATATCAAGTCTTATTTTTGTCTAGCATCAGCTTTCAGCCATTAGACTTTGCCATGTTTTGGTCTGATTGAAGAGCCCATTATCAAAGAGTTCCGTTTCCGATGGAAAGTGCTCAAACATTGTGATCAGATCATCCATTAACAGTTGTCTGTTAAACTGAACAGCTTGAGCTCTTGGATCGTGTCCATACAAGTGTGGACATTTGTTTTCCCAGGGACAAGAAGCAGCAGCACACCTTGCCACTGCTTTTTGTCCCTGGGGAACACCCATGCCGTGCGCCTTCTGGCATGTTGCAGGTTACCTTGGATGGGGTAGGAGAAGCTGGGCCAGCAACTGCTGACCCTAGCAGTCTTACCTGGGGTCTTGAGGGCCTCAGGGAGCTGCAGTCATGTCACTCCTGCAGCTGGGAGCCTGGCTGGCAGCCAGAGAATGGTTCTGGCAGGCCTGGCTGTGGCTTTGGGCAGCACACACTGCCATCACGTATGCTGCCCTGCTTTTTTTCTGTGTTGGTTTTTTTGATCCCAGGATCTCCTGGGGTCAAAAAACCCTCGTGCCGCAAGGTAGGAGCATGGGGTAACGCCTGGATGTGTGGTGCTGCAGGTGGGTCTGTGGCCCCATACATCACACGGCTGCATTTGTGTGGATTTGGCCTTGGACTCTGCTGCCTTAAGGCATCTTTTCCAATCCTTTACTTTTTCTTATGACTCTTTTCTAAACCTTCACTAATTTATCAACATCCATTATTGATACCAAAACTGGACAAGTAACTTTTTCATCAGTATCAAATACAGATGAAATATACTTGTTCCCCTATTTCACACATTCAGGAATTGCATAAGTCTTTGTGGCCACAAATGTAATTCTGTGAGTTCATGATGAGCAGATTAACTACCATGATCCTGAGTCCTTTTGTTGGTAATATCTTTTACTAGACCAGCTGCATAGTTGGAATAGATTTGACAAGCTTTCAAATGCAGTGTCATCTTCTTGTAGATCCAAGAACCATTCACTGTGGAATCCACTAGAAATACACCTACATATCCATTTATAGTTATGTTTTGAAACTTTGTACTTAACCAGTTTTTAATCCATTTAATGTGTGCCATGGCGTTTCCTAGTTTCTTAATCAAAAATCAAATGCTAGCAAGTCAGATGTCTTCCAAATGTATAATATCTATGCTATTACCTTTTATCAACTGTTATCTTAAAAATAAATTACTTTGACAAGATTCAAAGTATGTTTGACAAAAGAAAACCAATATTGACTGATGCTCTCCTTGAATTCTTTATTAATTAGGTCCCATCTCAGCCATTCTGCTCTCAGGTTTGCAGGACAGCACTTATATAGCTCATTCAGTTTGTTCTTTCTATATATTGGCACAACATTAACATCCTTTATGTTCTCAGGGATAATTGAAAGTCAGCTTTCAGGACTGAAAGCTTTCACAGTTTTAAAATCCTTGAATGGAAAACATCCAGACCCACTGATTTCTTCCCTGCCATCATGGAAAGTGTTTGATCATATGAATAACTACCTTATCTGGCTTTTCCTGAAATCCAGAACAGAAATAGTGGAGTTCTGCTTTTTTTCTGCAGGGCTGCTGACAATTCTACCAGGTCCTTGTAGCAATGGGCCAGTGCCATTACTTGGACTCCTTTTGGTCCTACCTATGCCTCACTTTCTAATCAGCTATTATGGTTCCATCCTGCAGTTTTATATTCATTACAATCACACCTTCCTGTTTGTTTATTTTAATAGCTGTCTCTCCATCCCTCTAGGGTTAGTTTTTGATCCAGTGCAATGTTTTTCTCAGTTGTCTTTGGCCAACTTAAATGTTTTTTAAAAATCCCTGCTCATTCATGCTACGGTATCTCTGGGTTCAGATTGGTGCTTTGAAAAAAACCAATTTCACAAGGTGTGTACATATTCTGTATTATGTGTATATATACTAAGTTTGGTATAAAAGATAAAAATATGATGAAGTCATGATTATTTGTACCTAAGGTAGAGCTAATTCTTAGATCTCTGATCAATATCTGGCAAGACAAGGTGTTCTGTTCATCTCCCTAGTGTTAGCTGCAAAATTCTGAGCTAGGAAACTGCCATCTTCTATACTCAGAAATTCTGAGGGTGTTTTAGTATTGACAGTATGAGACATCCAGCAATAACGCTGAGGTGTCCTGTATAGCAACATAGTTTTTTTTCCTGTCACTCTACGTTGCAGCTAGGTTTTCAAGAAGCTAGTTGTTCTTGTTCTCCAGTGAAATCTATTGGTTAGCAACAAAAATTAACTAGTGCTTTATCTTGCATGCACATATCCAAGATAATTTTCATCCAGGTTGTTGGAAATGCACAGTGCTATTTTTTTACGTTTCCCCTCCCATTTTACCCACTATCCTTCCTTTATTAGTTATAAACATTACTTTCTAGCATCCTAATAATGTGAATCATTTCACCAGATGCCAGTAATGCCAACTAGGTCAAATTTATGCTCATAATGAGAAATTTCCATTGCTGTTGTTTATTACCAAGACTCAACATTGGTGTAAGGGGTTAGAGATTTTTCTGTCAGCTAATTTAATTCTGAGTATCGTGATTGTGTGCTAAATGAATGTACTTTTGTTCCCTTTTTTCACCTTCCTCTCTTGTGATTAATTTAATGTCCTCTTGACTCATCCAGCCACTCTGTTTCCTGGAAAAGTACCTTCCCAGCTAAAATGGAGACAATCCAAGCTATACACCCTCCTTCCCTTTAGAATAATGGTTCCCAAACTGTGGGTCACAACCCCAGCAGATGGGGTTGTGGCACAGCACTCCCTCCCATGTCAGGTCCAGCCCGCTGGGCTGCAGAGGCCCAGGTGAAGGACAGCAGGGTGGGGAGCTCCAAGCTCACAGCGGGCAGCCCACATCCTCACACCTTCCCCCTACCAAGGGCTCCATTTTGGCCATGCCACCTGTGGGAGAGTGGACAGGAGCAAGGAGCCGGCCTCTGTGCCCTGGCTTCAGCAGCTGCTCCTTCCTGCAGGTGGCAGCTGGAGCTCAGGTGCTGCTGGGGTGGAGGGGCAGGGGGGCTGCAGTCCCTGGTCCTGGGGCACCTGGGGAGAGTGGGGGTCTGAGGATTGGGAGGCTATATCTATACCACTCCCTGAGTCAGACTGGGCATGCTGCTTAGGCCTATAGATTTGTGGAATAAGCAGCTGGATGCAGCCCTGAGCATATACCCTGGACTACATTCAACCATCTACTCTGCAAATTTGCAAGCGGATGGTTCTCATTTTTTGGTAATGTGCCCCATCTTGCTCAAGAGGAGGTAATATAGATGCACACTAGGGGACTTCAGGTGCAGTCCTAATTAGGCAGCAGCCAGTGTGCAACTGGAGGATCTCTCTGTTGCCTAAATGTTGAACTTTGGCACCTACAGTTGTAATTAGAGAAAACTCCACAAAGGGACTTATATGTTTTGGGCTGTTGGTTACTTTAAGTTTTGTAAAGTAATGTTGAGCAGAGGTTTCAGAATCTGACTTACCAACTTGGCAGTGTATCTCAGAAC